GATACCTTCAGCCCTTTCTACTTCAATCTCTTGCTACCCTCTACCCCCGTACTATCCCCTGCCCCGCTGTTTTCTGTAACCTGCTGATCATCCCTCCTCCCTTCTGCCATCCAATACCCTCGCTTCCTTCCCTACCCTGCAGCGCTGTATAGCCCTTGTGGCTTAGCGCTTCTTTTTGATTATAATAATAATAATGGAGGTAGTGGAGATGTGTTTGAGGACAATGTGTGGTGTAAGTGTCATGCAGAGAATTGGTGATTGGCAGAGGTGTGGGTTTATTGAAAGTGATATCCAGAGGGCTGAGGAGGGGTTGTTGAGGTGATTTTGACATTTAGAGAGAATGTAGCAAAATAGGATGTCTTAGAGAGTGTATTAATCTGTAGTGGAGAGAAGGTGGGGTAAGGGTTGCCCTAGGCAAGGTTAGAGGGAGGGGGTAAAGGAGGTTTTGTGTATGAGGGGTCTTGGACATCCAGCAGGTGTTGTGAACATGTTGGGAGCAAGTAGAGGCAAATGGTTTTTGGAAGTTGACAAGCTGTTGTAGTGTGAGCAAGGAAACAGTTTGTGAAGGGATTCAGGGAAACCAGTTAACTGGACTTGAATCCTGGAGGTGGGAAGTACAGTACTTGCACTCTGAAGGAGGGGTGGGAATATTTGCAGTTGGGAGGAGCATCTGAACTATAATATCAGTGCACCTCTGGCAAGACCGTGAAATTGAATGATAGCAAGAATGTTTCTTTTTTGGGTCACCTCACCTCAATGGGAAATTGCTGGTGTGTTAAAAAAAATTACTCGCCAAATGGATAAATCTGCACCTGCAAACTTTAATTTCACTCTGTGCCGCTGTTGATTTTTTTGAACATTTGGCACTATGCCACTTGGAAGTTATCCAAGCCATTCCAAGATGCTGGGAATGGGTTCAACACCTTGGGTCATAGGGCACATGAACATGGCATTTGTTTGTAGAATCTTTTTTTTTTTTTTTTTTTTTTACTGTAGACAAACATTGAAAATTATAAACCAATTGGGTCAGGCATTCTTGAGTTATTAATGAGTGAAATAAAGTAAAAAGCTGGAAAAGAAATTCAGGCAGCTTAATAATGGAAGACCATAACATGAAGCCTGAAGTTTAAGGTTACCCTAGCCAAGCACAAGTCTGTGTATGTGCTCACACATGAAGTTACTGATCAGAACAAATGTTGCTTAACCTGAATGATCAAATTCTTTTCATCCACAGTACATTGTCAGTAGAATATGTAACAATTATTGTAGGTATGAATTGTTCGAATTCTAAAATCGGTGCAATTTCTTGAAGGTCCCCTGCCTCACTCTTGCAGCCGACGTCACTCCAACAAGAACCCTGCTCTCTTGCAGCTGGGGCTTGCCCAAGGGAACACTAAACACACTGTGATGAATGGTTTAGAAAACCGACAAGTTGAAGATTGAGACACTTATGCAACATATGGGAATATTTAAGAAATGCTTCGCCACACAGTGGCTTCATCAGCCCAGTACAAAGCAGAAAGGTGCAAGGAGAGGAGGAGTTTGAGGTAATCAGTCCCTCAGCCTGGAGTCGATGTGTTCAGTCCATCTATCTTGTAGAATGTACAGCATAGGGCCATAGACGTGGCTAAACACACTGCCTGTGTACAAGATCCCAAATAAAATAAGAAGTTTCCGAGGTCTTATCATTGATCCCTGCTTGGATATATGCATCAAAGCACGATTACAAATGGTGGCAAGCATTGGTTGCAGCAGTGTTGCCCGGAGAGAGGAAGGAAGGACGCATTAAGACATTGACTACCTCATCGCCTCATACAAGCAGCATCCTTCTCTCGATGAGTTATCCTAATGTCATGTCTGCAAGTCTCACCATTCACAGATACAAGCAGGATCCAGGCCAAAATTTGCCGCATTTCCTCGAGAAATCTTAGAGGCGTCCCCTGGCAACTCCACTCCACAGTGTTCCACTCTGTTTTCAAGTCACTCAATGTCACCTGTTTTTTGTTTCAGTTCAGCAAGGCTATTTCAGCAAGTCAGGTGGCAAGTTTTGTGGTGGGATTTTTGTCCAGTGTGGTTGATTTTTCACGTGGGTATGTGGGGTGCAGAGGAAGCTGCCAGACCTTTCCTCACCATACACTGCCATGCTCCTACCATGCCATCACCACTTGTGCTACTAACTCCCTCTCTGCTGTTTTCTCTGTGAATTCTGTGTGAATTCTTTGCTAGAGCTGTGTAACCGAGTGCCCGAGGTCACTCAAAGCAGTGTGGATCTACAAGTCACGTGGATATACTAGCCATGTGGAGTGAGCCACGTGGGTTACCAAGTCAGATGTCCAAAGCCACATGTTGTTTGTCTGCCTGACGTCACTCATGGTGTCACCATGCTGCCTGACGTCACCTTGCGTCGTTACTTTAGAGCGTTACCTGATGTCAATGACATCATTCCAGGACTGCCTGACGTCACCCCCAACATCACCATGCTGTCTGATGCTACCTTGCAACGTCACCTACGACATCACCTTGCTGCCCAACGTTACCTCGCGATGTCACCCACAATGTCACCTTGCCCCAACATTACCATGCTGCCTGACACTACCTTGCTATGTCACATCACTCATGAGGTCTGCCTGAAGTCGCCCATGACATCTGCCAGACATCGCCCCACGTCATCTGCCCTGACGTCACCCCACGACATCACTCGCTACGTCACGCTTGACATCACCACATGTCGCATCGACAGTGTTAGTGCCATAGTGAGCAACTTGTATTCAGTATTGTCCAGAACGATTGAGAGAGGATATGTCACATGTTAATTCCTCTCAATGTTCCATTACTAGTGTTCTCACATGCTCGTGAATACCCTAGTGTCGATTTTTGCACAGAGAAGCATCATTTGTTAGTGCAAGCCATGTAGTAACTGCATGTGCAGTGCAGGTGTGCAGTTTGTTTGTCCCGATGAAGTGGTTTGAGCCCAGCTGTGTGTGTAGCCCACAGTGTGGTCTGAGCCCAGGCCATTGGTAACAGCCTCATGTTACAAGTCACCCTGTTGTGACTGTTCGATGACTGACATTAGTCAGTCCAGGTGTCTTTTACAAGTGTTGAGCCCCATGTACAGGAAGTTCTTGTGCTCACCGCTCATAGACGCCATGTCTGAGTTGTCCTGCTGTGACTCCTCATTGAGGCTCGTATTACTCCACCGCCTGACCGTCAAAGTACAATCATGAGTAGACCCAGTCTGGGGACACTCAGTCTAACCTCTGCTCTGACTCCCACTCTGATTGAGAGGATGACATTGTCAAGCCGCAGTAGCCCCGTCGGCAGACAACTGTCTGACTCGTGTCATGGCTTCAGTGAGCAGCCTGTACAACGTATGATGTCACTTTGACTGCTAACCCACTCACTCCAGTTACAGTGTAAGCTGTTAAGACTCCCAGATGATGTGCCTGAGTCATCCCTGCCATGATTCTCTTACTGGCACCACTAAGCTGTGCTGTGCCAAGTTCCTTGCAGTGACTACCCAGTGACAATACCAGTTGAGAAATGTCCTCCTGAGTCACTTGCCAGAAAAAATCCTGCCCAGTTGCCGAGTACTGACAACACCTCACTCGGGCACCAGCAGGTTGTGCCCCAGGTTGAGTGAACCCTGCATCAACTACTCCACGATGACTGCTTCACTGTTCCAGACGAAACCGTACCCAGATACACCATAGTTCAGCAGCATTGTCTCCCAATGTGTTGCAATATCTGTCCAGAGGAAGGCATGCAGTGATGCCTGCCAAGGCTCACTGCCTTGGACCATGATGTTTCAGCACACCCCCTTTTTTTCTTCCCTCCCCGTTGGATTTTTTTTTTTTTTTTGCCCATGTCCACATGTTTATATATGTTTTTATTTTCAAAGATTACCCAAGTAAGAAATCATTTGAATTGCAGTGATAATGAATGTGCTGAAATAGTGTATTACTAAGATAGCTAATTTTATCTTTTTTAAAGAGGGTTAAAGACTGTAATCAAATTTGTTTATGTTGATTAAAGAGGATAAAAATTAAGTGTCTCTTACTTAATGCTTATTAAATATCCCATTTAGGGCACTGTTTTCTTTACACTTTTGCTTATCCTTGTTAACCCTTTCACTGTCACGACCTCAAACATTATAGATGGCGAGGTTTGCAGAAGCACATGGATACTATAGTTTAGATGTTGCTAAACAGCAAAATATCCCAAACCCCTCTTAAATTAGAATATTTTTCCACAGGTAATGACACCTATAACACGAAATGTGGAGAACATGGAATTATACATTCCTGAAGTTGGCAGTCTGGGCACAATTTATGCATCAGCAATTTTGTAGTATGCTTCACAAAAAACTGCCCATCGAGCTATCAGAACTACCCTATGATGTGCATAGATGTTAATAATTTGGCCAGTTTTACTCAAAATAAAAAATTAGCTTAAAAGTAGTAAAAAAATAATCACTGTAGGCATTCCAGGCAGTAAAACAACTTTTCCTCTGTTCATTAATCACATCTCCAGGACTCTCCCTTCCCCTCCATTTTGAAACCATTATCATACAGAATCAAAGTTTTACCATTTCTTGGATAATAAAATGTAATTAAGAATGATTGGTCATTGTTTAGCTTATCCCAATAATTGAAGCAGACCCAGTAAAAACCCTTGACAAGCCAGGGAAAGGGGCTGTAGCCATTGTCAAAAATCTGATATTTCTGCTACTGAGTCCTATTTAAAGCTGCTGCCAATCTGAAATTGACCAAAAATCATCTTGACTTCAATAGTGTCTCTTCCATTCCGTCAGCCAATAAAACAATAAAAATCATCCTAGAAAATGCCTATGTTGCTATTTTAAACCAAGCACAGGTTCAGAGGTTTGCTTTTTCCATTGTGACTGCATGGGGTAGGATATTTTTAGTGTGCACACTTGCTGCACAGACTCATTCTGTCATATCTAGGTCAAAATTTTCTCAAAGGGAAACGTTTCTTTTCAGGCTGCTGTCATAGGCAATCTTTGCCATTCATTCCAATCATTTAACACATGCTACAAAGACACTGGCCTGTGGGGAATATACTTCGTTTGCGAGCCACTTAAAATTGAGGTAAAGTATTTAATCTCTAGTTACTTTCTTTTACTGAGATTAAATATTTTTTAGTGTTTAAATTGAGCAATACAAATTTTCCATTGGGAAGTCTCCATTATATACCAAATTAAATACTTCATCCCTAGGGTAATGTTTTCCTTTGTTGCAGCTCTTTATTATCCATAATCTTAAAGTACACAAAGCAAAGCCTAGGAGAGGTATGTACAGTATAATGTATGTGTAAAATCTCTGGTATTCATGGCAGTAAACTTTCTGATTATCTTTAATTGAAAATATTATAGGTGTGTATTTTAATGTAAATTAGCTTGATGAATTACAGTAAATCATTGAAGACTGTTCCATGTCTTTTACTATTAGAAAGCTTGAACCAGAATTCTATTAGTTGAAGCAAGTACTCGTTAATAAATTCTGCAAAGGCTTGAATTGAAATTTTAACACCTTTCACTCCCTTGCAGGACTTCATGTACAATCTGCAGTCAGAATGGATGAGGCTGTGCACTAACGTTACTGAATTTGAAGTAGATCGCGCTAAAAACATTTTGCGTACTAATTTGCTGTTGCAATTGGATGGTACAACTCCTGTGTGTGAAGACATTGGCCGCCAGATGTTGTGCTACAACAGGCGTATCCCTTTACACGAGCTTGATGCTAGAATTGATGTAAGTATTTCCATAAACCATAGAATTGATGAAGGAAAAAAAGGTGGGTTATGCATTGAGGTATCTGTGGAGACAAAGAATATTATCCATGGAGACAAAGAAGGGAGTGTACAATAGTGGTACCAACATAATCATATGGGTGGGAGGCATGTGTTGTGAACATTGCAGCGAGGAGGATGCTGGAGGCAGTGAAGATGTTGTGTCTAAGCGCAATGTGTGGTGTAAATATTATGCAGAGAATTCGGAGTGTGGAAATTAGGAGGTGTGGAGTTAAAAGGGCTGAAGAGGGGATGTTGAGGTGGCTTGGTCATTTAGAGAGAATGGATCAAAGTAGAATGACATGGAGAACATATAAATCTGTAGGGAAAGGAAGGCGGGGTAGTGGTCGTCCTCGAAAAGGTTGGAGGGAGGGGGTGAAGGAGGTTTTGTGAGTGAGGGGCTTGGACTTGCAGCAAGCGTGCATGAGCGTGTTAGATAGGAATGAATGGAGACGAATGGTATCTGGGACCTGACGAGCTGTTGGAGTGTGAGCAGGGTAATATTTAGTGAAGGGATACAGGGAAACCGGTTATTTTTATATAGCCGGACTTGAGTCCTGGAAATGGGAAGTACAATGCCTGCACTCTAAAGGAGGGGTTTTGGGATATTAGCAGTTTGGAGGGATATGTTGTGTATCTTTATACGTATATGCTTCTAAACTGTTGTGTTCTGAGCACCTCTGCAAAAACAGTGATTATGTGTGAGTGAGGTGAAAGTGTTGAATGATGATGAAAGTATTTTCTTTTTGGGGATTTTCTTACTTTTTGGGTCACCCTGCCTCGGTGGGAGACGGCCGACTTGTTGAAAAAAAAATATATATATATGGGATTAAAAATGCTTTGTTTTTTTTTTCACCCACAGGCTGTGAATGCAGATGTTGTTAGAGATACTTGCCACCGTTATATTTATGACAGGTGTCCTGCTGTTGCTGCAGTTGGCCCTTGTGAGGCCCTACCTGACTACAACCGCATTCGATCTAGCATGTACTGGTTAAGAGTGTAGGAGTATTAATTTAAAAGATGTGTACTGTGCTGACATCCTGTATTCCAGTTCTGGCAAAATAGGATTGTTTATGAATAAACCTAGTGTAACAAAGATTTTACATAAGGAAATGTATCATATATTATATAGTAAGAACATTGTACATAGATGCTTACGTTTTGAAAATTACAGTACCAAAATATAAAAAGGAATTTTCATTTAACCATATGACTTGGTCCCCACATAAGCTAGTGCAACCAGGTAATACATATTTTAAGAAAAAGAGGATAAATAAGTATACAAGATATGATGTAGGGCGAAATGACAGTAGTTTGTTGGATTATGTATTGGTAGATAAAAGACTGTTGAGTAGACTTCAGGCTGTACATGTTTATAGAGGGGCCACAGATATATCAGATCACTTTCTAGTTGTAGCTACACTGAGAGTAAAAGGTAGATGGGATACAAGGAGAATAGAAGCATCAGGGAAGAGAGAGGTGAAGGTTTATAAACTAAAAGAGGAGGCAGTTAGGGTAAGATATGAACAGCTATTGGAGGATAGATGGGCTAATGAGAGCATAGGCAATGGGGTCGAAGAGGTATGGGGTAGGTTTAAAAATGTAGTGTTGGAGTGTTCAGCAGAAGTTTGTGGTTACAGGAAGGTGGGTGCGGGAGGGAAGAGGAGTGATTGGTGGAATGATGATGTAAAGAGTAGTAAGGGAGAAAAAGTTAGCTATTTAGAAGTTTTTACAAAGTAGAAGTGGGTGCAAGGAGGGAAGAGTATATGGAGGAAAAAGAGAGAGGTTAAGAAAGTGGTGAAGCAATGTAAAAAAGAGAGCAAATGAGAGAGTGGGTGAAATGTTATCAACAAATTTTGTTGAAAATAAGAAAAAGTTTTTGGAGTGAGTTAACAAGTTAAGGAAGCCTAAGAGAACAAATGGATTTGTCCCGTTAAAAATAGGAGAGGAGAGTTATTAAATGGAGAGTTAGAGGTATTGGGAAGATGGAGGGAATATTTCGAGGAATTGTTTAAATGTTGATGAAGATAGGGAAGCTGTGATTTCGTGTATAGGGCAAGGAGGAAAAAACATCTTGTAGGAGTGAGGAAGAGCCAGTTGTGAGTGTGGGGGAAGTTCGTGAGGCAGTTGGTAAAATGAAAGAGGGTAAGGCAGCCGGGATTGATGGGATAAAGATAGAAATGTTAAAAGCAGGTGGGGATATAGTTTTGGAGTGGTTGGTGCAATTATTTAATAAATGTATGGAAGAAGGTAAGGTACCTAGGGATTGGCAGAGAGCATGCATAGTTCCTTTGTATAAAGGCAAAGGGGACAAAAGAGAGTGCAAAAATTATAGGGGGAGAAGTTTGTTAAGTATACCTGGTAAAGTGTATGGTAGAGTTATTATTGAAAGAATTAAGAGTAAGACAGAGAATAGGATAGCAGATGAACAAGAAGGCTTTAGGAAAGGTAGGGGGTGTGTGGACCAGGTGTTTACAGTGAAACACATAAGTGAACAGTATTTAGATAAGGCTAAAGAGATCTTTGTGGCATTTATGGATTTGGAAAAGGCGTATGGACAGGGTGGATAGGGGGGCAATGTGGCAGATGTTGCAGGTGTATGGTGTAGGAGGTAGGTTACTGAAAGCAGTGAAGAGTTTTTACGAGGATAGTGAGGCTCAAGTTAGAGTATGTAGGAAAGAGGGAAATTATTTCCCAGTAAAAGTAGGCCTTAGACAAGGATGTGTGATGTCACCGTGGTTGTTTAATATATTTATAGATGGGGTTGTAAGGGAAGTAAATGCAAGGGTCTTGGCAAGAGGCATGGAGTTAAAAGATAAAGAATCACACATAAAGTGGGAGTTCTCACAGTTGCTCTTTGCTGATGACACTGTGCTCTTGGGAGATTCTGAAGAGAAGTTGCAGAGATTGGTGGATGAATTTGGTAGGGTGTGCAAAAGAAGAAAATTAAAAGTGAATACAGGAAAGAGTAAGGTTATAAGGATAACAAAAAGATTAGGTGATGAAAGATTGGATATCAGATTGGAGGGAGAGAGTATGGAGGAGGTGAATGTATTCAGATATTTGGGAGTGGACGTGTCAGCGGATGGGTCTATGAAAGATAAGGTGAATCATAGAATTGATGAGGGGAAAACGGTGAGTGGTGCACATAGGAGTCTGTGGAGACAAAGAACTTTGTCCTTGGAGGCAAAGAGGGGACTGTATGAGAGTATAGTTTTACCAATGCTCTTATATGGGTGTGAAGCATGGGTGATGAATGTTGCAGCAAGGAGAAGGCTGGAGGCAGTGGAGATGTCATGTCTGAGGGCAATGTGTGGTGTGAATATAATGCAGAGAATTCGTAGTTTGGAAGTTAGGAGGAGGTGTGGGATTACCAAAACTGTTGTCCAGAGGGCTGAGGAAGGGTTGTTGAGGTGGTTCGGACATGTAGAGAGAATGGAGCGAAACAGAATGACGTCAAGAGTGTATCAGTCTGTAGTGGAAGGAAGGCGGGGTAGGGGTCGGCCTAGGAAAGGTTGGAGGGAGGGGGTATAAGGAGGTTTTGTGTGGGGAGGGGCTTGGACTTCCAGCAGGCATGCGTGAGCGTGTTTGATAGGAGTGAATGGAGACGAATGGTTTTTAATACTTGACGTGCTGTTGGAGTGTGAGCAAAGCAACATTTATGAAGGGGTTCAGGGAAACCGGCAGGCCGGACTTGAGTCCTGGAGATGGGAAGTCCAGTGCCTGCACTCTGAAGGAGGGGTGTTAATGTTGCAGTTTAAAAACTGTATGAAGCACCCTTCTGGCAAGACAGTGATGGAGTGAATGATGGTGAAAGTTTTTCTTTTTCGGGCCACCCTGCCCTGGTGGGAATCGGCCAGTGTGATAATAAAATAAAATCTAATAGCTTTTGGGGGATTCCAACATTTTCATTTTAAGGGGAGGGGGGAGTATTGTGGTTGGTCAGTGTTGAGTGACGCCCTTTAAAGGGCCTTTTTATATCGATTTCATGAAAATGTATACATCATACCAAATAGGTAAAACTTGCAATTTTGGCTTAAATAGCAACGCTCTTCTTACCAAGTAAGGCAAGCAAAAATTTGTGTACGCAATAATTTCGCAAAAATCATTCTGAACCTAACAAAAAAATGTATTTCATTGTGTTTGTTTATTATTAAATTATTGTCAACTTGTCTAAAATATCTTGGTACATGTCCTGTTTGGACGCAAAAAATTTTGCTTAGTATATGACCTTAGTTTGGAATATGACTCGCAGGTTATCAGCAATTTCAAGAAACTCAACACTAAAGCACTATTCCAGAGGTGCTTTGAAGTAACCTCTGACACATAGTTAACCCTTTGACTCTTTCGGTCATATATATACGTCTTATAATCCAATGTTTGACGTATATATACTCAAAATTTCTAGCGCCTTCAAATCAAGCAGGAGAAAGCTGGTAGGCCCACGTATGAGAGAATGGGTCTGTGTGGTCAGCGTGCACTGTATAAAAAAAAATCCTGCAGTATGCAGTGCATAATGAGAAAAAAAAAACTACTCCGACCATGTTTTTGGATTAAAACGCCTACTTTGAGGTGTATTTTTGTATAGTTTTTATTGTTATATTCTCAATTTCAAAGTAACATTTGATAGAATGGACAACATATTATAGAAATAGAGGTGATTTTGATTGGTTTTACTATGAAGGACCTTGAAATGTAGCTCTAGGTAAGGAAAATGTTTGATTTTTGCTAATGTTCAGGAGTAAACAAATGATGTCGTTGTCCAATAAATGTCCAACTAGCCATTCTAATATGCAGTCATGAATGGGTTGACATTATTTATACAATTATTACAATATTGCAGTAGTCTGCATAACAGTAAATCTTCTATTTTTTGTTTGAAAAATAATTCAAAATAGAAAGCAAGAGTAATATCAGAGGGGCCTGGAGACATAACTGATGAACAAAGAAAATGTTATTTTAGAGCCAGGAATGTCTGCATTGTTCATTCTGGACCCTATTTTGAAATTAGCATATTTTTTTAATTTGCATGAAATTGGCCAAATTGCCAATTTGACCACTTTATTGGGTAGTTGAAATCAGTAAATGGGCTGTTTCTTGTACTCAGCCAGTAGAACAAATGGAGTTCTAAATAAATAGTTGAGAGTTTGGTCGACTGGAACAATGGGATTAGCCAAAAATAGGGTTCAAAGTGGGTGAAATCGCCGATTCGTAAATACCGCCGAGGTTGCTAACTCAAGAGTGTAATTCCGTAAGTTTTCCATCAAATTTCGTACTTTTTGTGTCATTACCATTGGGAAAAGATTATCACTTCACAAGAAAAAATAATTTGTTTTATATATTTTACGACACCAGGAGACACCTCAGGATTTGGGGTTGCGACAGTCAGGGAAAGAGTTTTGGAAAGATTACTTTACTATCGCCCATTGCATAACTCTCATTGACAAAGCCTGGCAGGAAGTTTTGTACAGAACAATGAACTCTGCTTGGAGGAATTTGTGGCATGAAGCAGTGGGTGAAAGGGACTTTTGAGGGCTTTGAGGCTGTGTCTATAGTAGAGGATATTATATCTCTGTGCAGGTCAATGGGTCTGGATGTGAGTGGTGGTGATGTGGAGGAGTTAGTGGAGGTGCACAAGGAAGAGCTGACCACTGAGGAGTTGCAGAAACTTGAGGAGGAGGAGCACAAGACTAAGATGGATGCACTCTCTTCAGGCTTGGAAGAGGAGATAGAGCAAGCCCCTACTTCAATAATCAAGGAAACCTTTGCCAAATGGATGGACCTCAAAAACTTTGCAGACAAGTACCACCCCAACAAAGCCCAAACAAGCTGTAATAGCATTGTCTGGAATGGCCAGACAATGTCACATTTCCGAAACATCCTGAGGAGAAGGCAGAAGCAAAGTTCTTTGAACAGATTTTTAGTAAAAGTCAAACCTGGTGAGCTTCAACCAGGTCCAAATGGGAAAAAAAGAGAAGGGGACTCTCCTTCCAAACAATAACATTTCCTCCTCCCTTGTCAGCACTATCCTAGTAGGCACTCGACTTTTTTTCAGCAAAGTGAGGCTAAATTTGCATTTATTTAATCTAATTCTTCTGTATTTATGTATGTATTTTAGTACTAAGCAGTGTTGAAATTACATATTTTAGTATCAAGCAGTGTTTAAATTGTTTTATACAACCCCATAAAT